AACCGAGCAACCGAGCAACCGAGCAACCGAGCAACCGAGCAACCGAGCAACCGAGCAACCAATATATGACATACCTGTACAAGTTCTTCCGTCGCCGGTAAAGCCATCTTTACAGACACATGAATAAGAACCTTCAGTGTTCAAACATACTGCATTCGTATCGCAATCGGTAATCAGTCCTGCGCACTCATTGATATCTGATTGGGGGAAATGAAAAAAATGAAAAATTAATCCGTATCCAACATTCTAGCGAAATTCTGAAAGTTAGCCAGCTTTTTCTGTTTCAAGGTTGCGCGCCCATCAAAATCCAAAAACCTTGATAGACCATAAACACCACAATTGTTTGCAAACGCCATGCACAATTTCAACAACTCTTATAATTTTGAATTTCACGGAACTTGACTTAAACACATGGATATTCTAAACTTGGAAAATGAAGATTAACCTTTAGTAAATAGAGAAGAATTCGAAATTTGAATATTTGAGTYTTATACATAGCTCGTCGTCAGATTCTTTAGACTTACCAGAACACGTCCTGCCATCACCTTCAAAACCAGGTAAACAACTACAAATATGTGTGCCGATAAAGTTTCTACACAGCGCATTCGAGCTACAGTTATGCGTCCCGGTACCACATTCATCGATATCTGTCGACCCGGAAAAGTATCACAAATGAAAAGTAAATAAATCCTAATTTAAAAATAAAATAACTTTCCGAACAAAGTACATATACTTACCAGAACATGTCCTTCCATCACCAGTGAATCCCTTGTTACATTGACAAACATATGATCCCTCTGTGTTGATGCACATCGAGTTTTGGTGGCAGTCATTATCCGAAGATAAAGCACATTCATTTTTATCTGAATTAATGATTAAATATTATTAAACTCATTAATAATTCATGAGGAAAACACAACAGAAATCACGACCGTGAAGAGTTTTGTAAATCAGATACAGAATCCTGTTCATTTGCATAAACTTTAAGATGGATTTTCTTGGCCAGATTCACTTTTATCTTGAAAATTTTAGCGTATCCGTGTTGTTTCCTACGCCTCGAGTTTGTATATCGGATACAACACGGCCACTCATACTGTATATATTACATACGGATTTTTAGACGAGGTATTTTAATATTTTAATAAATCAAAAAATTTAATAAATTTTAAAAAATTATGATCATCATGTAAAATTAATGATCGTATCAAAAAAATGTGTTATACTTAAAATACGGATAATCTCAGCAACATCATAAAGTAATGACTTGCCTTAGTGCATTTTATCATCCAAGAAAAGATTCGACTTTTTTTATTGAAGTTACTCCAATAGTCTAATTATCGGCAGAAACGTTGACTTATTACTAGTGCTCTTTGAGGTGCTCTTTGAGGTGCTCTAGGAGAGTCACGTAATATTACAGTGAAATAGGCAATATTCAAGCCTTAAATTACCGCTGTGTTCCTTGATTACAGACTCATTTACTCAGGGTAGCCTCGAATTAGTGTCTAAATATTCACAAATACCAACGGTAAAGTAAAGAATGCACAACTTCAACAATACAAACACTTCGAAATTCCACAGACCTTCACTGGAACACGTGAATTTTCTACACAAATCGAGGCTAATCCTGAGCAACAGAGAACTCGAAACTTGAGTAATGAGTTTTTGTGATTCAATAATCATTGACGATTTAAGCTGATCACTCACCACGACAAGTTATACCGTCACCTTGAAAACCACGTAAACACCGGCAAATATTTGAACCCACAGTGTTACTGCACAGCGCATTCGGACTACATCCATGCGCGCCGATGCTACATTCGTCAATATCTGATAATTGGGGGAAAAAACAAGTAAGTTTGGATTAAGTTTCTGGAAAAAATATTTCGTACAGTCCCAGGGAGTAGCCAACTATTATACTAAGACTAAGGTCAAACGGTCAACAATATGGACTTTAGCCTGGCTAGCTTTTGTAAAGAGAGAAAAAGACGTCGACAGCAGAAAATCCCTCCAATCATGGGAAAAAATTAAAAAAAAAAAAAAAAAAAAAAAAAAAAAAAAAAAGAAATTGTGACTAATTTGTTTAATTCCCGTTCCCTAGAATTCCCTTGGTCATGTATAAATGCATGCATAACTATTTTGGCATTGTCTTCTTATCCCTTTCATTATACAGCTTCTCATTAATCCCATATAGGTAGCTGTCCAATTATTTTCTTAATTGGACAGGTCTTGTTGATATGGGATTAATTAGGCAGCTATATAATTAATAGGTAATGCGATTTCATGCTCCCCAATCAAGAAATAATTAGACTCGAAAAATTCCTGACTACCAATTTGGACTCGGCCTACGGCCTCATCCAATTTTGTCAGTCCTCGAAATTTTCCTCAGCATGGAGTCCTATTACATATACTAATACTATACCTGTACAGTTCGTGCCCCTCCTTTCGTAGCCAGGCAAACACTGACAGGCAAACGAACCTTCTGTATTCATACACACAGAATTATCGGGACACCCTGCTTCTTCAAGTACACATTCATCTTTGTCTGCAACAATAAGTATTGATGTAAGATCAAAAATCAACAGAGAAAAGTGAAGTTGTACTGCATAGGGGAACTTAACTTAAAAGTATGACCTGTCTGATTCATTCAACAATTCATTCATTTTCATTTTAGATTTTCGTCTTTTACACGACCTACCCTCCTCCCCCACCCCTCCAACATACCCCTCCAACATACACACAAAAAACAAACACAAAAAAGTTTGAATCACTCATCTACCCTAAAAACCCAAACATTTCCCATTTCGTTCGAATTCCGCACCCGGGAGTTTTAACGATTAAACGTAGAGTAAATTCTTTTGAATAGGTTTCTATACCTTTACACGATGTGATTCCATCCCCTTCAAATCCTCTCAAGCACCGACACATATATGACCCAGGAATGTTAGTACAAAGAGCGTTGACATCACAGTTGTGCATACCATTAGTACATTCGTTTATATCTGGATAGAAAATAAATTTCAGGGTAAGAATAAAAGTAACTATACACGACGTCGCAAGCTTCTTCACCTACAATGATGGTTACTCAGTAGGCTGACGAAACGCATTTACACGACGTCGCAAGTTTCTTCACCTACAATGATGGTCACTCAGTAGGCTGATGAAACGCATTTACACGACGACGCAAGCTTCTTCACCTACAATGTCGGTTACTCAGTAGGCTGACGAAACGCATTTACACGACGACGCAAGTTTCTTCACCTACAATGACGGTTACTCAGTAGGCTGACGAAACGCATTTACACGACGACGCAAGCTTCTTCACCTACAATGACGGTTACTGAGAACTTATCTTATGAGTAGGTTAGGTTTTGAGTACAGCTTATGTTGCCCGAGAGGATTTCCAACCACGATTTTTGGCGACGCGATTCTTCGAATTTTAATACGTTACACGAGTTAACTTTTCACTCGGATTTGGTATTTTAATAAAGACCTAATTCTAAAACAGCGGCTTTTATTATTATCAAGGATATTAAAAGAAAGGTTATTTGTAGAGCTAGAAAAGTCCCTAAATTATTATTAAGATTTACCATGGCAGTCATCTCCAGTGTAACCTTCGAGACATGGACAATCATAAGAACCAGGGGTGTTGTAACACAGCGTGTTTAATGGACAAAAGTCAGTTTTAGCTCTGCACTCGTCGATATCTAAATTACGAAAAAGAAAAGAATAGCATGAATGGGTAATATTAAACGAAAAGATGGCATGTATGTCGTAATGTGTACGTTTACCTTTATATGAAGTTTAAAGGTAAATTAGCGTCGTATAGACCCATTGCAGATGACGTCATAGCACCTCAATTTGAAGGACAAAACAAAAGAATTTCAATCACCTGAAACTCGAAAACCTATTTTTATGTCCTTCAAATTGAGCTGCATTCCGACGTGCTGGGGTCTTTATTTGGTTCAGTTCAAACGTCGAGCTTTTGCCGCGTCGAAACAGGGCTAAAGTCAAAAATGTTGGCCCAAACATTGACATGATTCGTAAAATGAAATTTGCCAATCATGTAATACTTCGTGCGACGAAAAACAATTAGAATCGAAGAAGCAAAAGTTCGACTTCTAAACTGGCTCTTAGTTCGAGAAAACAACAAAATAGACCCCTTCAGCAAATAGACCCCTTCAGTACGTCGGAGTGCAGCTCAATAGTCCCCTTCACAGTTCCCTGCGCCTCTTGAAAGGTAGCCGTGCCTTTGCATCGTAGCGAGATGAACGGTGAGCTTGCAATGATAGAGACATGTGAATAATTGCCCAAGGTATTGGGTCTCTATCATTACAAGCTCACCGTTCGTCTCGCTTCGATGCAAAGGCACGGCTACCTTTCAAAATGGCGCAGGGAACTGTGAAGGGGACTATTTGAAGGACACAACGATAGGTTTCCAATTCTCATGAGAATGATATTCTTTTGTTGTGTCCTATAAATTGAGGTGCTTGACGTCACATGCAAGGGGTCTATTGTATCAGACAACCAATCTCAAACAATCATGACTTAGCTTCCGACACATCGAGGATAGGAGGTGCAGTGAGAAAGGGGGTGCAGTGAGAATAAAAAATTGAAGATATTGAAATGAAAAAGGAAACGCATAACCAGTTGATGTGAAATAGTGACAAAACTGAGCTGTCATAAAAATAAGAAGCGAAAATAACGAACATGTCCGCCATTCGAATAAAAAAATAAAATTCACCAAGTGTTATCAAGTGCTAATTAGCAACGGTTTTTTATTTGGTAGGTTGGAAATCCATAATTTCAAGAGAAAAAGTGACACCTCAGTTTTGCACATTTTCTCGATTCTGATTGGCTAATATTATTTCTCAGATCAGCTGGAAACAATAAAATGCACCAGACTACGATGACTGGAAAAAGATGTTTTGAATGAATGAAATAGTAGATTTACCTTTGCAAGTCTTTCCATCGCCAAAGAATCCCCTCAAGCAACGGCAAATGTATGAACCCTCCGTGTTGGTGCAGAGAGCATTTGGATCACAATCATGTACAGACCCACATTCGTTGATATCTGGAAACAAAGACATGATTGATGTTAAACTGCATTAAAGACTCTTAAAATTCCAGGCTATGCAGGCTTATCCTCGAATCCAGGAGTTGCTTTTTTTGTTATTCTAAGATCTGCTTTTGTTTACCCACCTCAGAAGTTAGGCTAAGCCTGCATACACTGGAGTTTACAGAATCGCCAATAATTCCATGAAGGGTCTCTTCTGCATATGCATTATGTATTATACTTTTGATCACAAATCATTGCCTTATTTATTAATTGTGTTTAGTGCGGCCGGGAAAGGTGGAGAAGCTCTGTGAAGGCCCTATGTCCCATGAGACACGGAGAGGATAGGTAACAGGTAAAACGGATAATAATCAAGGGAATGACGAGGGCGCGAGGAGGATAGGTAAAATGTAAAAGGGATAATAATCAAGGGAATGACGAGGGGGTGAGGAGGATAGGTAACGGGTAAAAGGGATAATAATCAAGGGAATGACGAGGGCGTGAG